CGTCGGCTTCCGACGACCTCTTTATAGCACTACACTTGTTGTCAATAAGTGCATATTGGGTCGCTACGTTGTTTCACAAGGACATTGGACCAATTGATTCTCGCAACAACAGAGTTCCTCTACCAGTCGTGAGCATAAAAGTCAAAGGTTATCAATTAACCTCGAAGGCACACGGATATTTTGAATTCTTTCTCATGAATGTGTTGTGTTATCAGTTATGGGTTATAATCAAGTTGAAGTTATTTTAAAAACGAAAGCATTCATATTTACCTTGTCAATTAGTTACAAGTCAGTTAAGCATTGTTTCCTTGAGGCTTGCTATCAGAAAAACCAACCCACAGCATTGAGTAGCAGTCGAGTAGGCGCGCAGAAAAATCGAAGTTGTAGATCCAGACTTTGAATACACCAACCTTTATTTCATCACTTTAATGCCGTCTGCTGAAAGATTCACCGAAATTCTAAATTTTCATAGTCAATGCGTAATCTTTGGTACCAAACTTTAAATCAAAGCAAAACATAATCAGGTGCCTTTGAAATGGCAATGCATTCCAGTAATCTGTGTACGTAATCTGTTTGCTGACTTTATTGTAAATTCAATACAAAATCTCTTGTATATGATCTAAACGCAAATACCTCATTTGCTTTGCGTATGAACAAACTAGTCCATTTGTTAGCGGAAGCGGTTCTGTTGCCATGGTTTTCCAGTGTTTCGAAACGATCAGCAACAAAGCATCCGCCATTGTATTTTCTATGGCAATTAGCAAATAAACGGTTCGAGCGTTTCTTTGTCTCATGATTCAAAACTTCAACAATCATCACAAAGAAATTAACTTGAAAATATGTTCACATTGAAATTGATACCCACATATTGCGGTTGACAAAGTCCGGGCATAGTCCGGGGATGACTGTTTATTAGGAACTCGAAGCAAAAAAATTGATAAACTATTAAAATGTGATAAAACTGAGAACAACGAAATTTTGTAAAATCCAAGAACAAGATTGCCCTGTTGGCCTAGAACTTAAGACACATAGGATAAAAATATACTTCCCACATTTAAATACAGCATCGGAACGGAAGCGAATCTCTTGACGTGATAAAGGTCACGAACATTTCATAACATCATTCATGACATCATAATTAAGAAACTCTTAAGAAACAATGAGTATTGAAATTTCCAGAACATTAAGAAACTGGAGTACTCAACATCGATTTTTGTTTCTTATAAAAAAAATGAGTGTAGTCTGATTCAGAACAGCTGAAGAAGTGAAGAAATCGTTATATTTAGCTTTTAAATCTTTCCTCTCAAAATGTAACTCGTAGATAAAAACAGAAAATCATGTTTAATTTCCGAAAAAAATAGCAGTTTAGTATCACAAGGGGTATCCTCTTCGGTAAAAGGTCGTCAGTTATGTTGAGAAATTGGGATGGAAAATTTCTGCAGCAAAAGGTCTACACTCTTTTTTTATAAGAACCAGTAAATTTAAGTTCAGGCTTACTGTTCTTAATTTTTTCGAAAATCTGAGGCTGGATTGTTCTTAATTTGTTCTTAAATTAAGTGGGTGTAAGCAGTGCTTTTGCTAGCTTCCTCGCTCTAAGGAGGTGTTCGGGCCTCATTTGCCAACAAAGTGAGTGGGACAGCCTTAATTTGCTGACAAATTTGAATATTCAACGAAAAAGCACCCACACATCGCTAAAAATCCTCGATTTTGAGAAAAAACGTTGTTCAAAATTGCATTTTGCAGAAGCTCAGCCTCAGCTTGTTTTAATTTGTTCTTAACTTTTGCCCTATTTTGAGGCTCGTGTTCTTATAAAATTGTTCTTATAAAAAAAGAGTGTATATCGGAAACTTGAAACAGAAAGTGAAAATGAAAGAGTTGGGTGTAGAGTGCGGTGCTCGTAGCCGTAGCTGTCTCTATCCATTGTTTCCCTGTGATAAAAAAACAACCACAACCAGTGATCCTGGACAAGATTCAAAATTTCTGAGATTAGAATGGCAACTCATGGTAAAAAGAGGACATTAACAATAGCAATTTTGTAAATTGACTTGTTTGTCGAAAGTTTGCACGCTTATTGCTACATCCTTGTTGGAATTTTCAGACCCGAGTATTTCTGGCAGAAGTGTTAGTGAATGAAGAATGGCTTCCTTGTTTAGGCCAAGGGGCAGGTCACAGCTTTCATGCTGCATATCATTTCTTCGACATTACGCGCAAACTAAAATTAGGAAACCGAGTTTACCAAAACTTGTCAAGCTGGATGACAGGAGAGTTATTCGAATCAAAGGTCAAGACAGTGCTAAATTTTTGCAAGGAATGATAACAAACGATCTAGCACAACTGGAAAATGAAGACAGTAATATTATGTTTTCTATGTTCCTGAATTCTCAAGGAAGGGTGCTTTATGATGCCCTTCTTTACTCTGTTCCTAATGAAAATAGCGAATATTTTTTGGAAGTTGGCAGTGCGGCTGTTGAAGGCATTGTTAAGGTTTTGAAGATGTATAAATTGCGTGCGAAAGTAGAATTCGTTGATGCCAGCAGTGAAGTTGATGTTTGGGCAATGTTCTCTGAAAGTGGTTTGATTGAAACAGACATTCAAAGTGACCAAAAGATTGTTGCTTACAAAGATCCAAGGCTTGATGCGTTGGGGATAAGGATGCTTGTACCCTGGAATCAGTCACCTGTTGACTTGTTAAATATTGGACCACATATTTCAGTTGGCCCAGCTGTCTATGATGAGCATCGTTATAAGCTGGGTGTAGCAGAGGGTATTGATGAAATTCCACAAGGCAATGCACTTCCATTAGAATATAATCTTGCCTGGATCAACGGAGGTTTGCACAGATATATCGTAACTGCGCCAGTTTTTAAGCTTTTATCTGTGTTTCCAAATTTATTTTATAGTTTTGGGTACAAAAGTTTTGGGTCCAGGCTCCTCATTGAGGCCCTAACCCCATTAATCATACCACATCAGCCTCTCTATGCTAGTAGCAGTATACCCTGGTAAAGTGATGCCAGTCTGCACCTGGCATTATATTTATGTATAAATATATCTGCAAATTTGCAATATTTATATCATACATTAACCTCAACTCAAGGCATGTTATTTCCATATGTTTTGATGTTTTTCAGTTAGATTGTACAACATTGTACACTATGAGGTAATTACTAGCTTAATATATTCTTTCTTCTTGCAGTGAATTTTTCAAAAGGCTGCTACATTGGCCAAGAGCTGACAGCAAGGACACAACATGTTGGCCAAATACGCAAAAGAATAATGCCCATACAGTTGTTACCTCAGGAGAAGATTAAGGAATACCCACAGCTGGCTCCCCAAACTCCAGTTAAAACAGATACAGGAAAAGGGGCTGGCAAAATTTGTGTAATGACTGGACAGTATGGACTGGGGCTTTTAAGAATAAAGGAAGTATCCGAATCAAAAAGCTTAGTAGTTTCTGATTTGAATGGCAATGAAGTTTATCTTACTGCCTCAGCACCTTATTGGTGGCCAAGCCAAAGATAATCACCAATTTGTAAACTTGTAAATTTTTGTAGTCAATGCTAATTTTTGTCTTTTCTTAATTTATCTGTTTAAAATGTGAGAATGAATTTTATGAATGTTTTTTGTATGATGGTTCTTTTCCATTTGCACCTAGCTGTAACCAATAAGGCTAGATTTGTCCTAACAAAATAGGTAATGCAATGCAAAGCAAAACAATGCAGCTAACTTCCCTTCAAATAGGCTATGGAATACAAAAGATTTAGCTCAGCACCTGAGCATATGAATATGAAGCAGGGAAATGCTTTGTTATTTTTGTCAAAAATTATCCACCTCATTCTCCTAACAGTGCATTTAAAATTTAAACAGGTGGGTTATAATTTGCAAAATTAGAAAAACGCGATTTAAAAAAACATGATGTTTAAAACTCACTTGCAAAAAATTCCGTTCTGAAACAAGTTTTTTGCCAACTGGGGAACTTCCTCAAAAATTTTGAAACTTGTTGATAAAAAAAGGGTAGCCACCTCATCAGCAAAACCCCCTGGATGTAGTTTATGTCACTGTGTAAGACATTTTCAGTGTCTTTAAGGTGTTTGGAAAATTTCCAACCAAACATTTTGCAAGTCAAAAGACCTACATTTTGACGCAAAGTAACAAGGCTTCAATCTACAATCTTGCTTGTATGTAACAATTCTTATCCCACGTAACATGTAAAAGCAATTAAAAGCTATATTTTTCAAAACGGGATAGGCCTTTCAACTTTCCTTGTTTTTAGAATGTTAAACAAATCCACAATAAATAGGTTCACATCCCTTATGATGTTCAATCAAACCCTTTAAAATACGCTTTTGAATAAAGTTTCCACTTTTTATTTTGTTCTGGGCTTACCTTTGAACGAGAAGATTATTTTTTAGAACTTTTTTGATTTTTTTCAAACTCCCAGTTATGGCGAAACAAATCCTGGTTTCAAAAATTCAGCCTAAAATTGCAATTAGCACAAGTCATCATCATTATCGTTTTAAAATGATCATTATAATTAATTTTAAAAATGATAATTACAAAGTCTTGCAAAATTTACAAGATTAGGCTGAAAATTTGAAGCCATAATACGTATCGAAATATTCGAAAGAGCTAAAGTAACGTTTCTCTTCTCATTTTGATAAAAAGATTTGACAGATTTTTAGCAGGTCAAACTTGTCATATTTCGCTGAGATGACAATAGCTTTTCATAACGCTTATCATTACTGACGCCCTTACAGACAATAGAAAGATTATGTTTTTTCTTAAAATTTCTAGGATAAACATAAAGCCAAAAATATACATGTGCAGTGGTTGCAAGAACATTGAGAGGAGGCAAATACTTTTTCTCAAAGGGTAGTTTCTATGTTTTTGGAAAGGGGGAAAGTAGACCTTTGCTTGCAAAAATTAGTGTTGCTCGGACGTAAATTAAACCGACGTAATGAAGAATAAAAAAAGAGAAGCAAAGCATGAAACAAAAGCCAGATCTTTCCCTAAGCAAAAGGGATCAATTGACAGAGATTCAATAAAACCAAACTGAAGGAATTCGCACAGAAAATTAAATATAATTACTCTCAAAACATTTTTTCGTAAAAAATATAAATACATTGATAAAATTTGTTTAAACTGCGTAAAAATTTGTACATGCGTGTTTCAACATTATTAGCAAAACAAAAATTCTTAAATACAAAGTCACACTTTTAAAATTGGTTAAATCTCTTATCTTTACTATCATGAAAGATTGAAAATGTTGTTGAAATATATCAGGTATGAGAAAGATAGTAGAGATAATGTTCCTCAATATAATGAAATTAATACTATTATAACTATGATACAATATTTGATGATATAAATACCATAAGAAATCTTACCAATCTTCCCAATGGCAAAAATATCAAATTCAATACTTTTTATACTGTAATGTACTGTAATGAAAAAAAACAAAGGCCCAAATTTTATGCAACGCGTAAAGACGTAATACTAACAGATCTATAAATCGACAGATTGATGTGGCATCCTGCTTGAAAATGCAAAATCATGTTTTCGGTATTCAACAAAATCATGTTTTCGGTATTCAACAAAATCATGTTTTCGGTATTCAACAAAATCATGTTTTCGGTATTCAACAAAATCATGTTTTCGGTATTCAACTACACCCGTTTCTTTTCGTTAGGAAATTCCTATAAAAGACGAGTACAAGAAGCCAAGAATCTTCAATACTCGAAGCAAAAAAACTAAGAACCAACTAAAGTTTCAACTAAAAAGGCATAACTCCAAAACTTTAGATCTTTGTGATTGGCTGGTTCGGATAAAACTTTAGATACCAGCAATACAAAGATTTTGTGTCTCTAAAATTTCTCACAAAACCAACTTCATGGGCGTTATCCTGCGTAAAAGTTTCTAGTACCAAATAAAACTTTCTCAGCATGCAAAATTATAGTAGTGTTTAAGGAACACCGCAACGCGATGAGAATGAACAACAATAAACACACAAATAAGTGATGGCTAATATTTCGCACCGGCATATGGGGCTTCATCAGAGCAAAAGTAAACGCAAAATTATACCTGTCAGAACCTGAAATATCAAAATCAATGACATCAAAAGGACTCTCGTTTTTTTATAAAAAATGATGGTAACTGAAAAATAGGCCAGAAGTAAAAGGTTGAGCTAGACCAATCGTAAAGAAATCACTTTGCCTAGTACTTATCCTCAGAGAAAGTAGAAAAATGATATTGGGTCGACTAAAGGTACAGTTGAAACACAAGACAGTGCAAACGTAACCGAAAAGCCACTGACATTGCCAAGTCTATGGTGTTTGAAGATCTAAAAGTCACAGTTATCTGCTTTCTTTTTTAAATATATAGAAATCACGCTTGAAACATTTTTGGAAAAGTAAGAGGGGGATGGGAGGGAGATGTCAATATAAATTTGTAATCGATATTGGACAAGTATTCCAGCTCTAAAATAACAAACTTATGCATGGATGGACCTCTTAAAAATATGGCGATATTATAATCTGATTGGACATGATAACAGTGGGCTTCTAAGATGAGCGACATTTTTTAAACAGATGACCGCAAAGGCGAAACTGACTGACAATGGTTGGAGAGAGTTGGTGTCACTGCAACTTTTATGTTTCCCCAAAAGATTTCGAAAGTGCTGACGGCGGTGGTAGATTTGCCAACCTATTTTGAGCAGGTGCCGTCCGGTTCATTAGCTCATTTACGAGGACGGTCAACTCGTCCAGTTTTCGGTCTACTTGCCGCATCTTTCGCTCCTGCTTTTTAGATGCGTCACTAACCATCTCCTTCATTGCCTGGAACTCCGCTTCGACAGACCGCCTCAAGCCTCCGTCCTGAAATGCCGCTTTTATGTCGTCATCAATACCATCAACAACTTCTTTAATCTGAAACGTCATTTTCTCAAGCTCTCCTCCATCTTCCGTGTCATCGTCATCATAATAGTCTTGCTGCAATTAAAAGATACAATATTCGATATGGTATTTCATATCAATTACAGTACTAAGACAGGTAGTGATCTGATATACTATTAATGTATCATCGGCAAAAATTAACATACCAATGGACAGCAATGTGTGTGAATGAATCTTCTGAACCAATCCCTTTTCTTTTTGCTGAGTTGTTGCTCTACATCAAAAATTGCGGAGGCGCGTTCCATCACGGCATTGGCTTTGGCGTTGTCATAAACACGTTGAAACGTGTCAGACATCAAGGCAATGAATAAGTTTATCATAACGATACCAGAAAGGGCAATAAATGTCCCAACAAGCAACTGTGACGTCAGTCGATCAACTGCAGCAATCGAATCGAAAGCGAAATCCCCTAAAAAATGTATAAATCGGTCTAAACTTGAGAGTCTAATTCAACTTTCTACTTAAATTCACTATATTGCCACTGTAATGTACGAGAGTTTTCAAAGTATACTGTAACGCATGCCACCATAAAGCCCCGCTCAAACGCATCCAACATTTCACCCAACATTTCACCCAACATTTGCGAACTCATGACGGATGAAGTTTGATCACGGTCAAAAACAAATTTTGGTTTTCAATGTTCGATGAAATGCTGGATGCTTTGACCACTCCATATAAAACAATACTTTTAGTGACATCTGGTAGAATGCAATAAAATGCAAAAGTCCTTTTATATAAAAAAGGAATAAAGAAATCCGGAGCAAAGTATCTCGAGTGTGAAATTTAAAGTCACTCACCTACGACAGTTATTTGACTAACAGTATAGACAAGGTCATTAAATTTTTCCCAAGATGTCACTGGCTGAGAAGCTGCCTTCATAATAGCTGAGTTGCTTTTCCCACCAAATATTATCCAAAAAGCACAAACGTACGGAATGAACAAGAGGCAATAGACAAACAGAAACTTGAGTGTATCGTCCACAATATGACCGATCATAACAATGAAAGGACCTAGAAATCAAAGGAATTATTGTTCATTTCATACTGCCTAACAGAGTCGAATCAAGGGTATTTAGAAATGGAGAAGACAATATTCTCTGCAGGCGTTGTTCATAAAGACAACGATCAATATATTCGTGGATGTATATTTAAATGTCAGGTCATTAAATGTCAAACTTTAGTGACAAGAGAAACGTCATACCTAGAGCCTGAAATATCCGCAGCACTTTCATCAGCCTTAACCATATGAATATAAGGGCAATTGCCATGAACCTGGTATGGAGTGACTTGGCTTGACTCTCTGGCCAAGCAACAGCAACCACCCTCGACAATATCACGCTGAGAATCCAGCCATATGTCATCCAGTCAAAATAATTCCAAGCATCCTTGAAATAGGAAATTTTTGACCTTTCTACTTCATCAATTTCCTGTAATATATATTTTCGCTCCTCTGGCCATCTTGGATGGCAAAACTGCATGTCTTTTTCAAGTTCACCCTTTCTCCATTTCTTCCATTTGGCATTAGCAGCTGAAGACGCCCTGTATTCCCATAGTTCCTAATGCAACAAAAGAACTGGGTAAACACATTGTGTATAAGTATAAATATATATAACGCTATCAGCATTGCTAAAGGTGAGCGCAAATACCTATAAGCCTGCTTCTAAACTCTAAGCTTTATCAGTTCTAGTCAATCATTTTATCTCATAACCATACCCTATCTGAATTTTCTGTTGTAGCGTCCGTAAAGGGAGGAAGTAGCGAAAAACAGGCTCATGGAGTCAGTCTATACCAGACTCACAAAAAGGAGTCGAGTTAAAGAGTAAAATCAAACAGTTAAAGATCATAAAATGAAAGAAAGCGAGGAAAGAGGTTCCTCCCCTCCCATCTTACAGCTTTCCACTATTTGACTAAACTTACTGTCAAACCCAACTCTTTCACTGTGACTCTGGTAGCCTGGATAGAGGTTGAAATTAACAATTTATTCATTGTAGCAATCTGCCAACCTACCAAAAATATGAAATAAAACGTCCATAGCACTGCAATGCTTTCTAGAGTGACATTCCACCATCGCTCGGACATTGGCTTGTAGTAGCTATAATCTCTAGGTAATGAAACACCAACGGTTGTCCATATGATAACAAACAACACTTGAAAGGCGACTTGCAACAGGCATCTGGTTTTAGCAAATTTTCGCCATTTCACTTCAATGAGTTTTAAAAAAACCGGGTGCATTATAAGGTCCAAGTGCTTGAATTCCAGAGTACACTAAAATAGAAAAAAGGATTGGTATGCAAGAATATTAAGCAATGGGTACCGTACCAAAATCGTCGCAACCGTATCGTGCAAATATGATGTCAGGTTGAAGACTGCCTATTCTGCCTGTTACTTTAAGTGATGTAAACGACCTCCATACACTTAGAAAGAAAGATGTACTGAAACAGTATGGATAATGTTTATTGGTTAATCTTTTGGATTGGAAAATTTTTTAACAGTGATAACGTCTTCAGTTTCAAAAAGGGGCCAGTCCGACACAAGGACATGCTTTACTAGGGCATAACTGATCTTTATTTAAAGCCTCGCTAAACGCATTTTAAATCTGACTGTAGATTATTCAACATTTGTAGAGCGATGTTTAACCCCAGCGTTAGGGCTACAGCATTTACTAGAAAATCTAGATAGTGCAAAAAACCTATAATGGCGACATGTTTCGGATTGTTGGCAAAGCCCGATCGTCGTTCCATCTAGCAGTTTTAGAATCTATCTACATAAACATGAAAAAACCGCTTTTGTGTAGACAGAAGGGGTTCGTTTTCACCTTAGGACTTCATTGGTAACATTTTCTATAGGCAAGCAGCACTGATTGGGAAACCTCAACAGTCATGTGCTCGCGTTTTCTGATTGGCTTATTTCGATCCACAACTGGTTATAAACACTTACGTTCGGAAAGTATTGCACCACTTCGACGAACGAGTAATGGCGACGGCAAGTTTTTAAACAATATGACCGTCAAACTTCAAACCACTTTTGTGAAGCCATTAGATTCAAAAGGTAACAGCCATTTCAAATTCAATTCAAACTAAATCATACCACAGTAAGAACTTATTTGAAGCTTGTACCAATGTTATCTACTAAAGTTGAAAAATACTATCAAAATATCATTGTCATCTAACAAAGTATCAAAATAAATACTATCAAAGTAGCATCGACGACAACTAATCCAGAAATAACAAAGGGCAGGTTATGATACCTCCATTGGTAATTTTGCGTAACTGGTGTCTTGTCTAGGTAACTTTGTCTCTAAATAATTCAGGTAGAAGCATTGTTTCCGGTTAGCTCGATCTGTTGAATGGAACTGGCCTATTGCTTTCTTTGCAACGAGAGGCATCTTCTGAATCATCAGTGTCATGGCTGGCAGTCCACTTGAATCACATACTCCTGCAGGGACACCTTGCTCTACCAAATACATTGCTGTTTCTGATCGATCTAGATAGTATATAAAAAAAGATTAAATCAATACAGTATTAATACAGTAACTGTTAACTGACATCACTCAGTCTAATCATAAATAAAAGTCTATATTTCTGCATGAATATTTATGCATAAACCCCTTCTGTTGAAACAAAAATCAATCACATTATCAAGAAGCATAAAAATATAATTATTAAGTTTAAAGAAACAAACGACTTTTGCCTAAATATCTCCAAAAATCTAAAACAAAAAGCTATTTTAAGCTTCAGGGAAATCTGTTTAGAATCTACACTGATTACAAAAGAAAGATATATGAAAAAAATAACAACCCAAATAATATTGCTTCAAAAAAAGCTAGTACAAAGAAATATACCAAATATTCTTTCTTTAATGAAAAGCACTTGTTGGAATTGCTAGATCTTTTTAACTATCTACACAAATATATATATAGGAAAGGTATTTGACATGGTGCACTTCCACAAATACCATCTCGTTAATTTTAAATTCCTCCACTCAGTGGATCCTTCCTGTTACGCATTTCAAGATAGAAGCATCAAACTGCAAGTAGATTTTGCAACTCTGATTTCTGCAATTTATAATTTCTAAAAAAATCAGGAATTATATATTTACCTAACTCTGCAGCTAATTGGAGTGGTGTTCTGTTCTTAAAATCCCTATCACTCACATTTGCATTTAGTTTCAACAGCATTTTCAATGAGTTGACAGCATCATTTTTGGCAGCATAATGCACTGGTGTTTGGTTCTCATGAAGGGTTTTCGAAGTTAAATCACCTTGAAAAGACAATAAATGATTTATCAAATTGCAATGCAAAATAAGTTTTTATCAACAAAAGGGCCTCATTTATGGTCAGTTTTGTATATTATTCATTTTCTTGCAATCGTTTCAAACAGCTTACAAATAAAACTTAGAAATTATATCTGCAACTGAATTGTAATCATCAGTTATAACTATTAGTTTTTCACTCATGATATACAATTGCTGCAAATCAAACCACCCTATTTCTTTTTCAAAATGCTCATCAGCTATATAGAGGGGAGAAAATACATCTTAAAAACATGGAAAGGGGCTATATGAGAAACAAAGAAGCACATAAATATAGGTATTTTTGCACTTTGTCTCCTCTGTTGCAAGTATCTACAGGGTGGGCATATAAGTCAGCATGTTATTAGGCTTTTCACAAAAATTTAAACAAACAGTGAGGTGGGTAGATGATAGCCAAACAAAGGTGTTCTGCTTTCCAGTGCTGGCTAGACAGATATGATAATATATCATTTATAGATCATTTTAATATGCATCTAAACACAATAAATAAAAGGAATAAACTTACCACTTGACTAATCAATACAAGATGAATGTTTTTTATAAGGAACACCAACAAAGTATCTACTATTGCTCATTTTAATTTCTTACTTAAATCAACTGAATGTCCTGATCATAAAATCCAAAACTGATACTTTATCAAAATTGAATTTGCAATTAGGAACAACGAACAGTACTGTCTTGATAGGTTGAAAACTTGCTAGCCTGCGTGGACAATAAATGGAGCTGGAAATGCATATTTACAAAATTCTAAAGAATATCTTAGGCAGGGTACATAGGGAGAATGAAAAATGAGAGTTGTACAGAGTGAATACAGAGAAGGAAACTGATAAAAATTGGCAGAATGATATTAATAAGGCAGCACGTGACCTCAGTGTTAAAATAAAAATAGGTGAAAGGAAAGTTAGAGAGGCCATCAGCAAGTCAAGATGATGATGATGATGATGACAATGAAGAAAAATTATTCACCACATGTTTTATAATTCACTTTAAACTTACCTCCATTCTTACACAAAAATTCAACCATTTCTGGATAATTAACAGCACTGGCAACATGGAGAGGAGTACGCCCAAATCTGTCAGCTTTATTAATATCAGCATTTTTATGAATAAGGAACTTTGCAACATCAACATGCCAAGCTCTTGCAACTTCATGGAACACAGTTTGCCCATGAGTGTCAGTGGCATTTACATCTGCGCCATTTTCTATCAATCCATCTACAAAGTCAAGATCTATCACATCTTCTGCACTACAGCTCCCTGCCAGTTTTGAAAAGTAGATAATAAGTGCCCGACTGTTAGCTGATGTGGCTTTTTTTCTAGAAGCTGGCCTCTCTCCAAGACTGCCTGTTAATTCTGTAGTGAATGAGCTTTTGAAATCATCAAAGTCTTCATCTTCACCAATATCAGAATCAATTCCTTTATGTGTAGAATTCAATGTCTCAAAAGTACCTTGCGTTTTAACAACACCTTTTGGTGCAGGACCTTCCCTATGTTCACCAATCATTTTGGCAAGTTTTTTACTATGTATTCTCCTTCTGGAAGATACATACTTCTGCCATTTTGATACAACATCAACTTGTGTTGTCAGTTGTTGCCATTGGGCAGTACTTTCTTTTTTCAGCTTTTTCATTTTTGGAGAAAAAGAGTCATTCAATTTAGCATAAGGAGTGTTGCTTTTTTCTTCCACTATCTAAGAGAAATAAGAACATGTGCTTGTAATTATTTGAATAGAAAGTTTCAGTTATAAATTGTCAATTTAAGAGAATTAGTTTACCAACTTACAAACCTACTTGAAGCAGAGCTTCTGCTCTAAACAATTTTAATGTCAAAAATAAAATACAACATTTCTCTCTTTCATCTGCTGCAATGATCTGACTGTCATAGTTCTCTATGTACAATAACCTGGGGGATCGATACATTCCTGTCTGCAGAGTATGGCAGTTCTCGACGAGATCCCGCGCATGCAGTACTCATTCACGCCATGTTTTCTGCGTGCAAACCTTTCTTTATTAATCATTTTGCGTGCAAATCTAAGTTTTTTTAATAGTACTATAGTAAATTTGGTGTTCAATCAGAAAATTTTGGCGTGCCTCGAGCGTGCGTCAGCCACACTCTGCAGACTGGGACACATTCTTTCTTTGTTTTTCAAGAAACTGCTTTAAAAAGATAAAATCTGAACAGAGTGAAATTTACTTATAATTAAACAAAAATCTCCAATAAAGAGCTGCATGCATACCTGTTTCATATCGACGCTATCCTGGACTCGATTTTTACGAGGCATCGTGTGCAGATTTTACGAGACTTTTCTAATATGCAGAACAGTAAGCAGATCCAAAGAAAATATTTGCTGTTTTACAGCTGCCTTGCATATTACATTTCAACCCTGTGCTTACGATGCCAGAGTAACTAATGACCCTAGTACTAAAACTCTGTTGTCATGGTGGGAGGCCGTCGCACTTCGCTAACGAAACGACACCTTCGCTCAGACACTAAATTAAACGTCAAGTGTAAAAATGCGACAACGAATTGACCAAGAATAAGCAGGACTCATTAGGTGCTTCCAAAACCTCAGCAACAACACGAGGACGTCCTTTTCAGCTTCTAGCTGGCTTCATGTGGTAACTCGATGTTCTTTTTTACAGCAGTCAGCAAATAAACTACTCCCAATGTATTTAGGCGGTTCAAAACTGTAGCATCAAATCCGTATTTTCATGCAAGTAAAGTAATTAATATTTTAATGAAAGTATATATGCTGTGCGGCTGACAAAGCCAAGAGAAGTACGTGATCCCTGATCTGCTGGAGAAGCATGAAGATCGAGCGATTGTTGCCTTGGCGACATAGAAACTGTTGTTGAAGTTGTGATCATGATTGCCATGATTCTTCCTCAGGATTCCTGGCATAAAAATTAGCGTGATGCTGGCAGTGAAGGAGGGATGGGGAGAGATGGGGGGGGGGGCAAGGAAAGACTGGGAGAGAGGGGCGGGGAGGGAGGGACTGGCGATTCTTCTTTGTAGCTCTTATTTTTATCGCAGTGGAAAAGGCGAGTAAGCTTTAGGGATGCCGCAAACTAGAGAAAAATTAACTTTTTATGGTAGTCCCCAAATACACTCTATTTATATAAGAACCAGTAACCTTAAGTTCAGGCTGACTGTTCTTAATTTCTTTGTTTAAAATCTGATGCTGGATAGTTCTTAATTTGTTCTTAAATTAATAGGGTGTAAGCAGTGCGATTGCTAGCTCTTTCGCTCTAGCGTGTTCAGGCCTCATTTGCCAACACAGTGAGTCAGGCAACCTTCATTTGCCGACAAATTTGAATATTCACCGAAAAAACACCCACACATGGCTAAAAAACTTAGTTTTCGAGAAAAAACGTTGTTCAAAATTGTATTTTACAGTAGCTCAGCTTAAGCGTGTTCTTATTTTGTTCTTAACTTTTGACCAATTTTGAAGCTCGCGTTCTTATAAATTGTTCTTATAAATAAAGAGTGCAATTCCTGACTGAAGACTTAAGAATATGTTAGGTTAGCAAAAGCATGAGGCTTTGTCACACTACCCACCCTCAGCAGCTGACTTTGTTTGAACAACGATGAAAACTGAAAAGGCATGCTAATGCTTTGCGTAGAATCGTCAGTGACTTGAAATAAAATGCAATTTCAGGGGAAAAAATTAAACGGTTTCACCGATTTCTAACGTTAAATTCGGCAAGAATTGAAGGCAGCCAGGCACTGTGTTTTCAACACTTTTACCCAAATTTGATATAGAACACAGAGGTTCAAGGGGAACAAAAATAATAGAAAATTTCCATTTCTAAGTACCAGGATATATTAAAATATCAAGTTTGTTCGTCATTGGACCAACTTTTGACATAATTCAGTTTAAAAACAAAAGTCCTGGAAACGTTCTACATCGTCAGGAAAGAACTAAAGAAACATTTGTTTTGACAATTTTTTCCCCGTTTTATACAATAAAAATACTCATCCCCACTGCAAGAACATGATTGACTACAAATCACTTATAATTGGTTTGAGAGATAGGTGACAACCCCACCCCGCCCCCCCCCACAGATTCAAACTCTGTAGGTAAATCTTTGAAAATGGAAGTTTTGTAGGCAAACTCTTGAAAGTTGTGAACCCGTAGATGTAAGGATAAGTTGTTTTCAGTTTATTGGGTTCCTTGCAGTTCATGAGCTGCGTACCAGATAGATTGACAAGATGAAAAATCGTGCAAGTTGCGAGAAAAGCATAGAACGTGAAGAAAATGCACAATTTGACATGCGTAATATTTCAGTTCAGTCCAGTTTTATATTTTAAAATCCCTCTACATACAGCATCTTTTTATTCTACATTACAAATAATTACATACAATGTTAACACATTACTAATGACAATATATAGGCAATAACAATAAAATACTCAATAACAATGAATAGCGATTACATAAGATGTTGTTTGTAGAGGAATTTCTTTAGGAGGAGCTCTCTCAGTAGATAAACTAATCAAAGAGAGAGCACCCCCTTTCCTAGGGTAGTTTTTAAAGTAATTGATCATTTACATGAATGATAAAACTATAAATTTTGCTTCAAAATCAAATTTGATAGTTCTTGTTGAATAAAAAGGTTTTAAACTTTTGAGAAAACCTGACAACAGACAATGATATTTTTATATCCACTGGGATATTGTTCCAAGATTTAGCACCAAGGAAACGTACAGACTTGATACCATATTGTAGAGTATTTTTCCGTATTAAGAAAATGTCATTTTTTGTGGCTTACCGTGTAGCATATTGATGAGTATTTGACACAGATTCAAAGAAGTTGTGAAAGAAGGTTGAAATCGCCTAAAAGAAATATTTATTTGCTTGTGACAGCTGCATTAGAAAGAATTTCTAGCAAATAGGTAGTGAGGTTATCAGGGTTAGAGTTTGGATGGCGATACAAGCAGCTAAATAATAAGTGTTTTTCCTTTTCTATTTTCAACCTCAACCCAGACAGCTTCATAATCTGCAGTGGTATTGTTCAAGTCAATCTGTCAATTAGGGAAAGACCAGCTTTTACATAAATACAAACACCATCATTCTGATTGTGTGATTGGCCAGAGAAAAAGCTGTAACCAGGAATCTCAACATTGGTTTTCATTGGATTTTCAAAAGAATCCTAAGTTTCAAAAACTCCAAAAACATCAAATTTAATAGACAGACTCACAAAAGTAGAAACAAGCTCACCATAGTGACAAGACAGACTTCTGATATTCATATGTAGCAGAGAAAAATCATTTTGGGAATGCTCATGATTAGAAAGGTCCTGTAATGTGTGATGAGAGGAGTTAGTATTGACAGGTAAACGCTCAGCAACATCATAGTCTCCAAGGTTGGGCAAATTCATAAGATTTGAGGTGATCTGGAAAGATGGCGCTGATTTGAGAAAGGATGGGATATTCACTTCATACAAGTTTAATAATTCAACATCGTCAATTGTTCAAAAAGGAACAATTGATTCATTTTGTGCTATTGTGCATGTAAGGCAAAACCATGGAACTTTGTGAACTCTATTGATAATTGCTGTATACTCCGATAAAGAAATTTCCTTACATTCTATGTGGAAACAAGAATTGCAATAATGGCAGGAGAGAAAAGGCTTATCTGGTATGTTTTTGTGGCAAATGCCACACGACGTTGTTATTTCAGGCATCTAAACTGATGAAAATATGATATTAATGAAGTAAAAACAACAATTCTGATCAACAAACACTGTAAACAACACAACAGTTAGGTTCAGCAAATTAACCAAAGGATACTTCATGATAACTACTGTCATTTATAGAGCTTGCCCTATGAGAAACTGATAGGCCTAGGCTACTAGATTTTGATTTGGTCTACTTGATTTGGGTTACGATAGCTGTTGTTTCGCCGATTAACTCTATGACATCATCCCATGATTTCTCTGTGACCTTGTTTTCGCTAACACCGGTAATTCTGACATTGCTACGGCGGCTCTGATTATCCAGATACTCCAACTGATACTCAACTTGGTCAGCATGATCATTGATTTCATACAGGTTCTCACTGTGCATGGCGATACTTTTTTCCACGAGTTGTATCTTCTAGTAGTCTAATAATGCTTAAGGAGTCTAATAAAATAGGAAATAGACCCCTTCTGACAAATGCCCTCTTGGGCTATTTTTAGACTAGGGAACATGTGCCGAGTCTACGGGACACATTGTTGTGCTATATTTCTTCTTGTTAGCTTTACAACCAACTTTGTAAACCTGCATTATTTGATAAACAGAAAAGTTCAAAGAGGTCTCTCAACTTGAAAATACCCCTTGTGCTAATTTTAGACAAGGGGTACTTGTGCCCAGTCCTTGGAAGACATTATTGCTGTTAGTACCTTCCTGTTAGCTATAGTGGCACAAAATTTGGTAAAACTGTATAATTTGAGATGATAAAAAAGATAAAGTGGTTTCCTTACTCAGAAATACCCATAGCGCTATTAATAGACTAGAATACCTGTACCCAGTCCACGGAACACGTTATTGTAGCAACCTTCATACAGTTAGCTAAACACTCATGAAACTTGGTAAACCTAAACAGTTTGATATGCTGAAAAAGTTTAACATTATCCCGCAACTTAGAAATACCCTTTGCTTTTCTTAGACTAGGGTACTCTTGCCTAGTCCTCGGAAGACGTCATTAAAGTAACTTGCTTATAGTTAGCTTTATGATTATAATTTTTAAAACCTGAATAGTTTGATAGGCTGGAAAAAGAGATCTTCAAACTAAAGTATCCCTTGTGCTGTTTTCAAAGCGAGGATTCTCATGTCTGGTATGCTAGTGCTTTCTAAAGTTTCCTGATAAAATGAGTAAAAACATACAGCGCAGTATCATGCTGTATTCTATCCATCTACGTTACACTCTGCAATACAGTTGCGAAGCTCTGTGCAAAGCGCTTGACTTTAGAGCACCCATTTTTGCTTTTGCAATGTTTCAGTTCACTAAGTGCTTTTGAAGCTTCATCTACCTTCGCCCAGGAAGGAGACAATTTCTTCAGCCGTTTTCCAAAGCCAAAAAGAGGCATCGGGAAGCGTTTGCACCTTCTGGCAGCTTTGTCCCTAGACGTACCTAGAAGTACCATAAAAAAGGTTCATAAGTCAAAGTAAGTCCTCTTACTGAAAAAGGTCCTCTCTCTTTTGCACAGTTACCGAGCAAAAGGCTGATACCATTTATTCAGGCATGCATAAATTTCACTAGGGAATCAGGCACGGAAATGATATGCCATCCTGTTTACCTTTCAAATATTAAAATGATCTGTCATATTGCAAACAATATCTAAAATGGGTTTTGCTTGATATGCAGTCCGTAGCGAGTGTTGGGGTAACGCGTCCATAGACGTTAGTGACACAAGATCAATTTCTCTAGACTTCTTGGTAAAAAGGAATCTTCTACATTCGTTGATATCTGTTAAGGAACTTGATCAGTAGTACATGAGGATCTGTTAAGGAACTTGATCGGTAGTACATGAGGATTGCAAAGCGTTGTAAATGTGCAAGATCGTCGTCATTGATGCTGCCTGGTCTATTTAACAGTCGCTGCAAAACTTTAGCTACATCAGAGTAGGCTTTCCAGCATTCCCATGTAATTGCTTTTCCTTTCCCCGCAAAGGAGGTGGGCACCTTATCACAACAGTTAAACGCGTAGCAAAATAACAGAGCAGAACATTTGTCTTCTCCAGGTGAAGATACAATGGTATGGACAGGAAACAACCTTCTATTTTTACCAGCTCCGAACTCATTCCAATGCTTGCCTAATACAAGGTGAATGAATTTTGAATTCGCGATTATGAAGACATCAGTATCGACCGTGTTTGTGAGGATTTATGAATATTCTTCTTGCAAACAATGCTTTGCATGCAAAAAAGCGATTTTGTGATTGCTTCCTGGTGATTGTAAGGACCAACCTCGTCAATCGGAACCAGTGGTTGGAACCTTTTCCATAGCTGTGCTCACGATAGTCTTCCCTGGTACGTTTAAGTTGACAATGACTTATCATAAGAAAGATCTCAAAGTCAGTTTTAAAAATTCTCTGACTTCGAATATGAAAAAAATTGAAAATTGTCAATTTTTAAAAAATTGTATTGCTCGAGTCAACTCCAAAGCCTCAATTTACATTTCCAATATCATGTTAGGTGTTTTGGATAAAATTCAATCTCGAACTTGGAGAAACGATCCAAGTCATTTTTTCAAAAATTCTCTGACTCTGAATATGCAAAAAAAATTAAAAAACCATCAAATTTGACAAAAAAAGTTTCCCTCGAAACAACCTCAAACGCCTTAGTTTACGTTTCCGACATCATTTTAAGTGTTTTGAATGTAATTAAAGATCAAATTTAGACAAAAAGATCTGAGTTATTTTTTCAAAAAAGGTGACTCTGAATAAGCGAAAAAATATAAAAATCAACAATTTAAAAATTTTTTTTTTGCTCAAGACAACTTTAAATGCCTTAATTTACTACGTTCTCTACAGCATTTAATGCATTTCAGATAAAATTTAAAGCAATTTTTTGAGAAAATGATCCAAGTCATTTGTCAAAAAATCTCTGACTTCGGATATGCATAGAATGTAAAAAATAATCTATCTTCAAAAAAATTCGTTCGAAACAACCTCAAATCCCTTAATAAACATTCCTGACACCATTCTAGTCGTTTCAAAAATAAATTTGGAATCGGGATATGCAAAAAATCTAAAAAGACACTAATTTTTAAACAAATTTTATTTCGCTGATAAAATTGCAAATGCCTTAATTTACGTTCAAGACACCATTTGCGGTGTTTCAGATAGAATTCAAGCACCTATTTTGAAAAATACGACTTAAGTAATTTAATCAAAAAAATATCTGGAAGCACAAAAAATCTAGAAACTTGTCAATCTTTATAAAGAATATTTTTTGTTAGAGACAATAATAACATTGAAAATATACCTTTTTAACAAAATTTGGAGACTTCTGTTTGAAATTCCAAATGATATCTGAAAGAAACAGTTAATGCGACCTTTCAAAACTACACAATATCAAAAAGTTTAAATGCTTTAAATTATGTTCCGACCACATCAGGAGGGGTTTCGGTGAATTTCTAGGTCAGATTATGGAAAAAGGACCATGTCATTATTGAAAAAATCTGTGACCCCTGAACTGTATAAAATTTCAAGAACATAATATTTATAAAATTAATAAAATTTACTATAATAATGTATAAAATTTACAAAGTATCATACGTCAAAACATCCTGAAATGCTTGAAAATACTTTTCGAACACCATAACAAGTGTTTTTAATGAATTTCTAGGCCATGTTTGAAAAAAGGAACTTCGTCATTTTTCACAAATTCTATGACCCCGGACCTGTGAAAAAACTTCAAAAATCTGAAAATTTTGCAAAAAAAGTTTTTCACTAGAAACAACCTAAAATGCTTGGAAAAACGTCTGCAACACTATAAGAAGTGATTTCGACGAATTTCTAGATCTCTTTTGAAAAAAGAAACCAAGTCATTTTTAACAAAATCTATGACCCCGGACGTTTGAAAAAACTTCAAAAATCTGAAAATTTTGCAAAAATAGTTTTTCACTGGAAACAACCTAAAATGCTTGGAAAAACGTTTGGAACACTATAAGAAGTGATTTCGACGAATTTCGAGATCACTTTTGAAAAAAGGAACCAAGTCATTTTTAACAAAATCTATGACCCCGGACCTGTGAAAAAACTTAAAAAATCTGAAAATTTTGCAAAAAAAGTTTTTCACTGGAAACAACCTAAAATGCTTGAAAAAAGGTTTGAAACACTGAAAGAAGTGATTTCAATGAATTTCTAGATCATTCTTGAAAAAAAGGAACTGAGTCATTTTTCACAAAATCTATGACCCCGGACCTGTGAAAAACCTCAAAAATCTGAAAATTTTGCAAATATAATTTTTTACTGTAAACAACCCAAAATGCTTGGAAAAACGTTTGGAACACTATAAGAAGTGATTTCGATGAATTTCTAAATCATTTTTGAAAAAAGGAAACAAGTCATTTTTCACAAAATCTATGACCCCGGACCTGTGAAAAAACTTCAAAAATCTTAAAATTTTCCAAAAATAGTTTTTCACTGGAAACAACCTAAAATGCTTGAAAAAAGGTTTGAAACACTAAAAGAAGTGATTTCGATGAATTTCCAGATCATTTTTGAAAAATAGTAACTAAGTCATTTTTCACAAAATCTATGACCCCGAACCTGTGAAAAAACTTAAAAATCTGAACATTTTGCAAAAATAGTTTTTCACTGGAAACAACCTAAAATGCTTGAAAAAAGGTTTGAAACACTAAAAGAAGTGATTTCGATGAATTTCTAGATCATTTTTGAAAAAAAGTAACTAAGTCATTTTTCACAAAATCTATGACCCCGAACCTGTGAAAAAACTTAAAAAATCTGAAAATTTTGCAAAAAAAGTTTTTCGCTGGAAACAACCTAAAATGCTTGAAAAAAGGTTTGAAACACTAAAAGAAGTGATTTCGATGAATTTTTAGATCATTTTTGAAAAAAAGGAACTGAGTCATTTTTCACAAAATCTATGACCCCGGACCTTTGAAAAAACTTCAAAAATCTGAAAATTTTGCAAAAATAGTTTTTCACTGGAAACAACCTAAAATGCTTGGAAAAACGTTTGGAACACCATAAGAAGCGATTTCGACGAATTTCGAGATCACTTTTGAAAAAAGGAACCAAGTCATTTTTAACAAAATCTATGACCCCGGACCTGTGAAAAAACTTAAAAAATCTGAAAATTTTGCAAAAAAAGTTTTTCACTGGAAACAACCTAAAATGCTTGAAAAAAGGTTTGAAACACTGAAAGAAGTGATTTCGATGAATTTCTAGATCATTCTTGAAAAAAAGGAACTGAGTCATTTTTCACAAAATCTATGACCCCGGACCTGTGAAAAACCTCAAAAATCTGAAAATTTTGCAAATATAATTTTTTACTGTAAACAACCCAAAATGCTTGGAAAAACGTTTGGAACACTATAAGAAGTGATTTCGATGAATTTCTAAATCATTTTTGAAAAAAGGAAACAAGTCATTTTTCACAAAATCTATGACCCCGGACCTGTGAAAAAACTTCAAAAATCTTAAAATTTTCCAAAAATAGTTTTTCACTGGAAACAACCTAAAATGCTTGAAAAAAGGTTTGAAACACTAAAAGAAGTGATTTCGATGAATTTCCAGATCATTTTTGAAAAATAGTAACTAAGTCATTTTTCACAAAATCTATGACCCCGAACCTGTGAAAAAACTTAAAAATCTGAAAATTTTGCAAAAAAAGTTTTTCACTGGAAACAACCTAAAATGCTTGAAAAAAGGTTTGAAACACTAAAGGAAGTGATTTCGATGAATTTCTAGATCATTTTTGAAAAAAAGGAACTAAGTCATTTTTCACAAAATCTATGACCCCGAACCTGTGAAAAAACTTAAAAAATCTGAAAATTTTGCAAAAAAAGTTTTT